TATTCTGTTCAGGCTTTATGATGACCCATGAGAGTGTGGTGGCCGGGCGCCATCTAGCTCTTCCCTGCCAGTCTCAGTGCCAGCAGACTGATGCTCATGTGGTCCGTGATCCACTGCACTCATTTCTTCCCATGAGGTTTATGATTTCCGGCCATTTTTCCTCCAGACAGGGAGTGGCCCCTGGTTGCACTTTAGCTAGCCAGCTGCTCACCAGGCTTTAAGGGAGGATGTAGAACACTGAGAACTAGGTGAGGCCGATGGGCCTTCCCTCCAGACAGTACGGTCTCAGCCCCCTGGTTCAGCACAGCTCATACTTTCAAGGTATTAGCTTATTTCTGAGAAGTTTCTTTTACTTTCCGCCTGGTATACTCCACCACATTCACAGAATGTATTTGCAGCAAACATAACTCCTCTTGTACAGATCTCCTGTGGCATTGTGTGTTTTCTGAGTTAGACTCCCGCTCTCCCTCTCACTCCTGTTCAGCCTACACACTTACCCAAGCTTCAACCACTCAGACCACAGCCATCGGAACGTTTCAGGTAGAGATCAGAATTTACCTCTGGAGCCTTTAACTCTGGCATCTCTTCCAGGGTGTTCGCTGCCTCCATCACTTTGGGCCCAGCCCTCTCTTCTTGTAGTTAACATTTGCCAATCCCTGCACCACCACCCCACTGCCCCTGTGACCATCAAAGATTTCTTTGCGTGTGAAAAACCTTCCTTGACTTAAAAGTCCTGTGTCCTTGTGTGCTGGACTTATCTCCCACAACCTATAATGTCCTCCAGGTTCCCCCAAGTGCTGTGAGGGCTCCCACGCCCTGTCTGCTCTTTAGTGATACAAAACATTCCGTTGTGTGTTCCTCGCCTAACATGCCTCCCATTTTGCAGATAGAGAAAATGAGGCTCAGAGTGGGGAGTGCTGCTGTAGGGCCCCCAGCCCCGCAGCCAGTGGGAATCTGCCCCCACCACACAGCCCTGAGATCGGGCTCAGCAGGGACAGGATTAAAACATGATGTTCCCGAGACCCACCCTGCCCCACCCTGAATCTGAGATGGTTCGGAAGTTCTGCAGGCAGTGTGGAGACTGTGGGTCGGGCATCTGGAGCCACCAGCCGGTGGCTATCAGGATCTCTTCTAGGATGGTCGGGGGGAGTATGCTACCTGGTGCCTTGGGGACCAGCCATCCCACCATTCCCCAAACCAGAGAGAAACCCTCTCATTAGAGTGGGTCACTCACCTGTGCTCACCTGCAGAGCTGGGGCCCCTCCCTCCCACTTGGTCCCATTGGCACCTGGCATGGAGGGTTACTCATTAGGTGCTGGGAGGGGCTGGCCCCTCACCAGACACCTGTTACAGGAGCCTGGACTTCCCTCTTCTCCCAGTGTCCTTTCGGCCTGTAAATCATTCATCCCGTGCCCTCTCCCTGCCCCTCCGCTCTCACGCACCTCCCCACCCCTGCCCTCCCTGGTGCTAGCCCTGGCAAGGGTGCTTATGGGGTGGGGACAAGGGGTTGGAGTGTCCCTGTGCAGTTCTGGAGCCCAAGACACCGGACTCACTCAACATGTTAACTCGATTCCAGCTCATGGCCTCCCTGTAAGGCTGGGTGGAACTGCCACCCATGGACTTCGGAGCCTGGAGCTCTTCATGGGACTAGACTACGTCTTCTTCCGTGGAGCAGCTGGTGGTTTCAAACTGCTGATCTTCCGGTTAACAGCCCGTTGCATAACCATGACACCACTGGGGCTCCTCAAAGCACCTGACAGTCACGGTGTCTGAACATGGTGAAAATCCCAACACTCCCCAGTCTCTCTTTAGAGGCACGTATGTGCTTTTGGAAGGAATGAGAGGCTTGTAAGCACGTATGTTGTGGGTGTCCGGGGGTTCCAGCTCACAGTGGAGCATGCACCCGAGCCCTGTGCCACCCTCACAAGTACCGCCCACTGTGCTTGAGCCCACGTTTGCAGCCTCTGTGTCCGCCCATCTCATCCAGGGCCCTCCTATTTCACTGCCCCTCTCTCCTGTACCAATCGTGGGGCCCCTCTCCAAGCATGAGACAAAGGCTCCCCCTGCTCCGCTCCTGGAGCCATCTGCGTCTGCCTGTGCTGCTTCCAGGACCCACCTGTGCCCCTGGCAGTCTGCCGTACATCCAGTATTCTGCACCAACACCCTAACTCAGGCCTCTGTTTCCTTTGTCATCTCCAGGCATCGTCCGGCTTCCACGTACATGGCAGGCAATTGAAAATGCCATGGCTTGGGTCAAGGATGCCTTAGCCCTCGGAGTGCCACCTCTATCCCAGCCCAGCCCTGCCCTCCATGGCTCCCTTCCCAGTAGAAGTTGGGGGTGGCAGCTCTGAATGGGGCCCCATTGTGGGCTCTGTGGGAAGGCGTGAAGAGCAAGCGCTTTAGACCACAGCCATAACCCCCTGGGGCTCCAGTTACCCCAATGCCACAGGGCACTGGACTGGCTAGACGCCCACTACCGGCTGTGGCCTGGTGGCTCTGCTCATGGCAGCCCCGCCCGTGTCAGAATGGAAGTGGGATTGTAGCCCTAGGTGTTTGGTGACTTGTGTGTGTGTGTGTGTGTGTGTGTGTGTGTGTGTGTGTAAAATTTAAAGCAGACCTCCAGGCCTTTCCTCCGAGGTACCTCTGGGTGGACTTGACCAGGAGCCGCAGGGGACTCACAGCCCATCTTTTGTTTGGACCTCAGACTGCCACATAGCCTCCTTGTGACCTGGGAGGACACTGAGCTCCCGTGATTCCTCCGGCTTCAGCAGTGAGGGAGCAGGGGTGTGCCCCTGGGGCTCTGCAGGCCGCCTCTGCTGGTGGCCTTGGGCAGATTTTGAGCCGATGTTGAATTTTCTAGGCCAAGGAGGGACCCTGTCTGGAGCCGAAAACCTCATCAGCCACTCCCTTGGCTCAGGCCTGGGGCTCAGCCTGGCCCAGGGCGGAGGCTGTCCCGTGCTGCCTCGGCAGCCAGTTTGAGGTCAGCGGAGTGGACTCGCCCAGTTTGGTTCCGCTGCTCTGGCAGGACACGTGGGGAAATGCAGCCTGGGAACATCTGCTGTCTCCTGTTCTCCACAGAGCCGTTTGGCTTGCGGGGGGAGCCCCAGTGGTGGACTTGCCAAGCAGCATGGGCTTGGTAGGGGGGGAGGGGCTTGGGGGGGCCACTCAGTTCTGAGGGACAGGCAGGGCCAGGGCTGTGACCCAGGGAAGTGGAGGCCAGGCTGTGGTGGGGTGCCCTGCTGGCGTGGGAGGGGGTCAGTGCCCTGGTGTGATGTGTGTCTGGGTCTGGAAGGGCTTTCCTGTGTCCCCTATTTATAGTCCTAGGCTCTTATAAAGGAAGCTGGATTTCACCAGACCAAGCCCAGGCCAAACATGACTCTTAATGCTCTCTGTAGACCTCTGGCTCCAGCCCAGGGAAGCCCCAATATGGACCTGCGATGATGCTGAAAGCCAGCATGAGCCTGCGCCCAGCCCTCCCTAGACCGTGCCTCTCCTGGGTCTTTCCCCTCTTTCCTCAGCCTGGTCTCACCGAAACCTATGTCAAACCCCGTATTGCCTTTGTGGCCGTGCCCCCCCCAACATGGACCTGCAGCCCCTACCCCTCACTCCTCCCGGCCTCAGCAGTGGTGTCAGACAACAAGAGACATGTTCTCACCACAGGGCCTTTGCACGTGCTGTCCTCACTACGGGGAGCCCTCGGCTGTCTGGGGCTTTCCCCTCACCTCCTACCCATCTTGGCTCAAATGCCCCCTTCCCAGGAAGGCTGTCACTGACCACACAGGGAGAGTCTGCTCCCTGCGTCCCTAGCCACCCCCACCCCCACCCCCTGCCACTTACTTATATTCTCAAGTGCCCAGCAATGACCAGACCACTGCACTGTGTGTGCGCAGGTCACCCTCCACAGCAGCTGGTGCCTGTTCCCCTCCCCTCCCCCCAGGCAGGCCTCCCAGCAGGGGCTCCAGAAACATAGATGGGGTGATCGCACTCCTTCCCTGGGCTTCCCTTCCCTTGTTCCCTGGGGGCACAGATGGGAGTGTGGATGGCAGGGAGTGGGTGCAGCCCCAGCTCCGGGTGTGGTGTCCAGAGCCAGGCCCGCTCACATCTTCTGATGACCCTCAGGGTCTACCGGAGACCCCAGTCCTTTCTGTCCACCTCCAGCTGTCCTGCAGGAACTGGGGAGCCTGTACCCCAGGACTAATCTTGTGGTTCTGTGGGATCTAGGCTTATAGCAGCTGCCCCTGTTCTTTCTCAGGCCTAGCAGGGGCGGCTGCTGGCTCAGTGGTATGGAAACCCCAGGCTAAGCCTGCTCAACCCCCAGGTCTGAGGGGTCCTGAATTACAGCTTCCCGGGGGGCTTGTTGTGGTCCCTGGGCTGTGCAAACAGTTCAGTCTGCTCAGCTACAAACAGAAGGTGGAAGATTCCATCCCTGAGAGGCCTCAGAAGAAAGGCCAGGTGATCTATTTCCAAACTATCAGCCACTGAACAGCCCTTGAAGCACAGTTCCTCTCTGACCCTCAGGAGGTCACCAGGAGTCAGGATGACTTGATGCTTGCTTGGAGGGGAGGGGGCAGGGGGGGGATAGTTAAAGTGCATATTCCTGGCTAACCCCTAAACCATGTCCTAAAGTGTCTTGGAGAGCTCCCCAGCCCTGCCGTTTCTGGGAACGGCTGGCTTAGAGCTGGTGGAGCCGGCCACCAGCACAGGGCTCTGCACCAGGGGCTTGAAGCCCTCACCCATCAGCGGCTGACTGTGTAGCGCGGAGCAAGTTGCTTCCCCTCTCTGAGCCCAGTGGCCCCTCCCAGAAATGGACAGGAGCAGAACTTAGCTTCCAGGGGTGGGGCTCCACACCTGAGTGATGGGCACCCTGTGTCTGAGGTGTCTGTCCCTCCTTCCCCACCTTGGGGCCCTCTTCCAGGGGTGCCTCCTTAGCTCATCTCCTGGGGGGCCCTCCATTGGGTCCTTGCAGGCGCCCTCACCCTTATCGCCCCTCTGTTTCCCAGGTAAGACCCGGACCAAGGACAAGTACCGCGTGGTGTACACTGACCACCAGCGCCTGGAGTTGGAGAAGGAGTTCCATTACAGCCGCTACATCACCATCCGGCGGAAGTCCGAGCTGGCCCTCAATCTGGGCCTCACTGAGCGGCAGGTGTGTGGGGCCCCGCCACCGCTGCGACCACCACCACCACCAGGCAGGCAGGGTAGGGAGGACAGGCTGAGCTTCCTGGTCAGGGTCACCCAGCACAGCAGAACCCTCGCTGCTGCCGCCCCTGACTAAACCCAGTCCCTGTCCTCCAAACAGGGGACAAAGGGGACCGACCAGATTAGCTAGAGGCTGTGGTCAGTGCTGTGAGGTGTGAGCACTGGTTAAATCTAGCGGAGGGAGCCATCACAGGGAGCACAAGGAGGGCTTCCTGGAGGAGGGGGCCTTCGCACAGCTGGCAGGATGGGGAGGACTCCCTGGAGAAGGGAGTCTAAGCAGAGGAGCTGGCAAGCAAGTTCCGGGAGATGGAGGGAGTTGTGGGAGGCCGCACCGAGGCATGCATCTCCACTACCCTCCCCTTTGGCCCTGCGCTCCGCTTCTCTCTCCTCCTCATCCCCTCTCTCCGGTTGGTCCCACAGGTGAAAATCTGGTTCCAAAACCGAAGGGCCAAGGAGCGCAAAGTAAACAAGAAGAAGCAGCAGCAACAGGAGCAGCAGCAACAGCAGCCCCCCCAGCAGTCCCTGCCACCCACCCCAGCTGGGCCACCGCTGGGGGGCCTGTGTCCCAGCACCTCCAGCCTCCTGGGAGCCTCCTCCCCAATGCCCGTCAAGGAGGAGTATTTGCCATAGGCCCTGCCCAGCCTGACGGGCTCCCACCTCAGGCCCAGGGGGCCTGTCTGAGTCTCCATCTGGCCATTGGCCTTCTGAATGACCTCCACCCAGTCCTGCACCCCTGGGCTCATCTGTTCAAGGCCCTCCTCCAGCTTCTGAGTTCTAGGCCTCAGGGGATAAGAGAACTGGGGGTGGGGAGTGGGGGTGGGTGCCCTCAGCTTCCAGAGGGTTGGCCTAGAGGTCCTTCTGCATTGGTCCAAGGCTCAGGGGGGCTGGTCGGGAGGGTGGCCACTTGAGGGAGCAGACAGACCCTAGAGAAAGGAAACCAGGCTGAGGGAAGATGGACTGCCTGCAGACCTGACCCGAGGGATGTCCGCTGCCACGGGCCCTTTTTTAGGGGGCATCGTACAGTCCCCTAGGAGTGGACCCGACAAGGAGACTCTGTGGTGACCCCTCCCTGCCATGCTCAATGAGACCTCTAGGTGGTAGAAGGAGGAAGGGGCCAGACTTCACCCTGCCAGGTGTCTGCAGGCTGGCCTTTGGGGCCCTGGCTCAGGGAGCCTTGAGAACTTTCTCTGGATGGAGCAGAACTCCCGGCTGAACAGGTGTTGTACATACATGGAGTAGAGGCATCTGGATGGAGCTCCAAGAATAAATCATTTTTCCTCCTTAAAGAAAGCATCGTGTAAGAATCGTTATACATAGCCTGTAAGGAAAGACAATTGAAAGAACCCTCCTCCCCCTCCCCTAAGAACATCCTACTACTGCCTTCCAGTCCAGGTAGCCCTGCAACCCCAGGACATCTCCAAGTGCCTTTGAGGGCCCAGCACAGGACACCGAGAGTCATCCGAGGGGCCAGGAAGCTGAGAAAGCCGCTTCCTCAGGCTCATGTCTCAGCCCTCTGGGACGTTTATAGCACCTTCAGGGGTAGCTTGACAGATAATCTCCCTTGGGCACCCCATCGGCCATGCATAGCGGGGGTACCCAGAAGCCCCGTGTCTAGTGTGGAGACTGCTCTGCGTCCAGCTGGGGTTGCAGCAGCAGGGTAGTGGCCAGATTCCCATCACAGGAGGACAGGGAGGACTCCCCGCTTACCCGGGGAGGTCCTAGGGAAGGCTTCTCAGAGGATGCTTGGCCAAGGCCCCAGAGGACCAACGAGCCCTGGTGTAGCCCCGAAAGGAGGAAACATTAACAAATAAGATCAGTATGAAATTTAGTGATTTTTGTTGTTGTTGTTGTTCTTGATTCCAAAAGAATTGTGCTTTGTCCTTTACCGGGTGTCGGCCCCTCGTCTCCCTAGGGCACTCATGCCAGCTGCCTAGCCCTCTGTTTACTGTGCCGGGAGGTGGCCCAGCCATAAAGTATGCAGCCTGCCTGCTACTGCCCTTTGCTCTCGCACACGTGACAGCAGCACAGGAAGTGTCCCAGTCCTGGCACAAGCCAGCACATCTCCCCTATCTGAAGCTTGGAGGCCGTGTTTCTGGTCACCTGAGACCCAGTTGGTGCCAGGGGAAGGGACCAGGTTGTCAAAAGCAGAGAGGGGGAAGGAGGCTGGGTGGAAGGGTGGCCAGCCAGCCATGGAGGAACATGGGTTCTTAATCTTCAAAGGCATTCGCTGTGTGATCCTGGGATAACTGCTTCCCCTCTCTGAGCCTCTACTTCCCCATCTGTGAAGCTAGGGAGTCTGTCTAGGAAAAAAGAAAAGCCTTTGGCTAAGTGAGTTTGGGAGGTCTGTAGTGAGTCCCAGGGATGAATTAGCATATCAAGGGCTCTGAAGCGTCTCACTGTAAAGAACCCCCTGGAATTCTCTTCCAGGTCTCTCCCCTGCCACACACACACTTCTAGCCAGGAGTCCCTGCCAGCGTCCTGCTGAACTCCCCTCTTTCAGTGAGATGGAACCAGAGCTCTGGGCTTCTGCCGGACTACTGCCAAAGAGTGAGACTTCAGGCCCAGTCTCCCTGGGGAACATGGGGATCAGGGCTGTCCCCAGGGCCTACCACATACTGTAGTAAATGCTGTGTCAGGCCCAGCAGCTCCCAGGGCTGGCATCCTAGTATGGAGTGCTGGTAGGCCCACCTGATCTATGGACTCCTCACTCCCAATGATGAGGACAGATGTTGGCACCACAGATCCAGAGGTGGGTGGGACCAGCCTGGCTCTGGCCACAGTAAGATCTCTACCTGGCAGGAGGAGGTCTGCAGCAGTTAGGGCCCCATAAGAGAATTCAGGGGGCTTGGAGGGGCCACAGGACATGTTGAGGCCACCTGCCAATTGCTGTTGGAGAACTTCCAAACAGCAATGGAGTCCCATGTAAGGTAGTGTATTCCCTACCACTCAGGAGAGGTCTACCAGAGGCCAGGGTATATCATGGCTCAGCAGAGACCCCTCTGGTACATGCTGACCCCACAGCAGCCTACAAGGGTGTTCCAGCCCTCCTGTCTGGAATGGCCGGATGCTCCTTTTCATCTAGCTATTTGATTTTGACCCCCATCAACCCCCCATGAGCATGGTGGAACCAGAGACCCCAGTGCCCGTGGAGGAGAGGGCCCCCTGTTTGAGTCCTGACGTAGTATTTCATGGGTACCTGCTGGGTGTGGGCCCCACACTGCTTGTGTTAGCCTGGGTTGACCAGAGAAACAAATCCAGAGACACTTGTGTATAAGGAAGAGTTTTATATAAAAGAGCAATTGTATATTGAGAAAACATACCAGCCCTGTCCCGATCAAGTCCACAAGTTCGATATTAGCCCATATGTCCGTCCGATAGCAGTCTATAAATTCCTCTTCATACTCACGCAATACTTGCAATGATGCGGAGTGCAGCACGATCACAGGCCAGTGGATGGGAAAGTCTTGTGGATCCAGTGGTGGTGGAAGCATCTCAACGCTGCCAGGGGTCTCCACATGGCTCCTCCAGCTCCAGGGCTCTGGCTCCATCAGCATAGCTCTGGGTTGTCATCAGGAATGTCTCACAGGGAGAGTGTGCATCCCATCTCCAGGGAGGAAGACAGGAGTTCCCAGAATCCTCAGGAGAAGGTCATGCCCACACAGGGGCATTATTGGCTGTGACCTGATCGACAGGCTAGACTCCACCCCTTCCTCAAGTTGACAGATTATGTAACTGCCACACTGCTGTTGGAGACAGAAGGTGTGGACAAAAAGCCAGCGTGGCTTGTCTGGGTCTTTGAAGGCCCACAGCCCAGGCTTGGCTTCTAGCAAAGACGAATGTGGACACCAGTCCTAGGTTTTGCAGGTTTTGAACAGGCTGAAACACCACCCTGGGTGAGCCAGCCCCTTTTTGCTAAGGGTTGCCTGTGAACCTAGCAGACCAGGCCACAAATCAATGAGGGAGGGGCCAGTGTGTGTGTGTGTGTGTGTGTGTATGTGTGTGTGTGTGTGTGTACATGCTGTGGTCAGAAGGATGGAAGGACTGCCCAGGGCAGAGCAGCCAGGATGGTCAAAGAGCAAGATTTGGTCCTGGGAGCACAGTGTCTTATGGGGGCGGGAGGAGGCAGTGGGGGCTCAGAGAGGATGGCTTTGGAGGACAATCCTGTTCCAGTTAGGCGGCTCTGGAGCCGCTTTCTCTGAATCCCACCAGATGGACCAGCGGTCTGGAACCTCATCTGTCACAGTCACCACTTGCTGCTGTAGCAAAACACGTGCTCCACAGTGATAGAATCTGAGCACTTGAGCAAGTGAAAAAAATGTTTATTTATATGCATTTAAAAATATCTTCCTATATAATAACAGTTCATTTTCACCAAACACTTCTTTTTAATTAGCATGCATCTCCACTGCACTTCCGGCCCAAAGTGAGAGAGGGAGAGAATAGGGGAGAGGAGATCGTGTGAGTCAGTCTGGATCACTGGGGGCACCAGGGCAGCAATGGTCACGTGTCCTCCAGAGCTGACCTCACTGCCAGTGGTACCACGAACTAAGGGCTTTGTGGGGTAGAAGGATTCTGTGGTCAATGCTGTGAGAAGTAGCTCTAGCACGTCTTGAGGGCGTGTTGTGTGGAAGTGCAGATTTCGCCAGTGAGGACTGTGATGAAGAGAGGATGGCAGAGAGAGGTGAGCAGGCACCTGATCAGATTCTTGTTTTACTTTGAGAGTCTATGCTGCAGAACGTGCATCCACCCAACAGTCTCTCCCTACACCATTCAGTGCTGTTGACCATCTTCCTTGAGGTGTGCAGCCACTCTTCCCCCTGAACATAAACTGACTGCTCCCTGATCTCACCGATCGCCTCGCCTATAGATGGATCTCAGATAAGCATCCTGCTCAAGGCAGACATTCTTTGCAAGTTAAGTTAAACCATTGCTTGCCTTTAAGAAGTCTCCAGGGAACAATTTTGGTTTGATGGTTAAAGATTATCCCAGGGCTGGAGTTTCAGGGGTTCTTCTAGCCCGTATGGCCCCAGAAAGTCTGGATTCTATGCACATGTTAAATTCTGTTCTACAGTTCCCCACTTTTGATTGACTTTTTTTTTTTTTAATGAAACAGCTTTATTGCTTGAGGTACAATTCACATACCATGTAATTCACCCACCTAAAGACTGCACGTCAAAGGCTTTTAGTATGTTCAGGACTGTGGAACCATCGCCACATTAATCTTAGAGCATTTTTATTACCAAAAAAAGGGGGGTTGACCTTTTTGATGACCTCTAAGTCATCAACCCCACCTTGCTCTTCTACCAGCTGGTCCTGCTCTTGCAAGCTGCCACTGAGCTGACTGAGATTCATGGCCACCTTCGCTAGGATCACATCCCTCTTGTGGTTACTGGACCTCTCTCCAACACATCTCACCAAAACTCCCCCCTCAGATCCTCCTCTAGTGACTGATCACATGATCACACCTGATGACATGTCCAGATCCTGCACCACACCAAAAAAAAACGATGTCCTCCTCTACTGACTGATCACATGATCACAACTCTTGACCACATGTCCTGAGCCAGCAAGTCGGGCAATGTTCTGTTGTGATCCGTAAGGTTTCCGTGGGCTGATTGTTGGAAGTAGACCACCACACCTTTCTTCTTAGTCTGGAAGCTCCTGTCCACCATGGGTGACGCTCGCTGCTGGTGTATGAGATGCTGATGGCACAGCTTCTGGCATGGCAGCCGCATGCAGAGCCACGACATACAAGCAACGCACAAAGGGGGACCTGTGCCCTTTAGCCATCCAACCCACCCGTCCATCACCCCCAGCCCCAGACAACCACTCATCGACTTTCTGCCTCACCATGTATTTTAAAAATGAATTAATGCTTTGAAAAACGTTTTATTGTGATGTAGGTGCAGAGCAGGAGCTTTACATTCACAATCTATACACATTTAGTTTCACGTCTTCTCATTCCAATCTCACCAGGGTGTCCTTATCACTTAACCCACTCCCCCACCCCGTGTTACCCAGTTCCACGACCCTCTGTCCTTTCCATTTAAATGGCAGAATGTTTGGACATGGGGTGGGGGTGGAGCGGAGAGCCCCACCAGCCCCTCTCGGATCGAGGCACTTGCTCTCCTGTGGTTCTGAGTGTGGCTTCCTTGCTCCTTCTCCAGAACCTTCTGACGGTTGTCAGGATTCTTTCAGACCATCTTTGATCACCCTGCCTCTCCTTCAGAGGGATTTGGCAGACCTCTGGACACCTGCCCCTGGACCCCTTTCCTTCTCTGAAAGGCATGAGCTTGGGTTCCTTGACGCTCCACCATGGGCCTCACCCAGTCCCCCACCCCCACCCCTGCCACTTACACTCACTGCCGGTCAATACAGTATGTGTTTGCTCAAGGAAGGCAAAAGCCCCAGCCCTGCTCCCCACCCCCACCCCTCAGGGTGGTTCCCTCCAGGCAGGGTCTGGGAGTCCAGCGAGCAGGTGGGCCTGGGAGGGGCCATAAACAGGCCTGTTTGCTCTCGAACTGTGGCAACTGCCTCACCCGACCCCTGTGGTTCTACATGCCTTCCAGGGGGCTTGATAAACCCAGTGACCTGCAAGGGGGGTGGCTCAGAGGGGCTACCATCCCTCCTGCGAAGCACACTGCGAAGCACACTGTGGCAGATCCTATGACAACCCAGAGCGCGGGTCCTCAAGGGGCTGCCTTGTCTCCAGGAACACCCACGGCCCCGGCCCACATTTAGTTTCACCTCATCTCTGGTGCGCATGCCTCTCCCCAGACCTGGTGCCCAGCCCTCCTGGTTTCTGCAAGGAGATCCAGTGCTCGGTGTGACCTTGGACACCTATGCTACTCCTCTGGGTCAGTCTCCTCCCTGTCTTCCAGGGCTGTTGGAAAGATTCCAAGTTAGATATTGGGGATGCCAAGGGCCATCACTCAACACAAGCTCCCATTCTGAGGCGAGGAGTCCCCTCTGAGGCCGGGTCAAGTGTAGGCAACTGTGGAGGAGCCCAGGGGGCAAGATGAGCCTGGAACACACAGCTTCAACACATCCATTCCAACCCCCTCAGTGCACCGGTGCCGACACCACTCCCCACCCTGCTTCCTGTGGCCCTTCTTCCTGCCGTCCACAGCCTCTGTCCTTGGGCTAATGCTGCCCTGTCCATCTTCAATACCCTTTATTCCTGCCTTTGGTTCAATTGAAAACCTTTCCCCCTCCTTCCAAACTCCAAGGACAACCCTGGGAGAGAGGCAGGAGCTCCCCACCCCAACCCCCCCACCCCAAGCCTCATGATGCATGACCCCTGATGGGACAGAGACCACACAAGATGTCATCTCTGCATGGGACCCTCCTAAAAGTGAAAGGGGTACTACTTCCCATGATGCAGGGTCCATGAACAGAGCTGGTTCAGCCCCAGCCAGCCATCTGGCGCTAATCTCCCCTCCTCACCACGTTCTCACTGAGCCCTCTCTGAAAGGCCAGCCATGCAAGGGCTGGCGGTGGGCCCATTGCACAGGCTTTACCAGGTGGCAATCCCGGAGGACAGGAAGACAGGAGCTGGTGAGCTAAGTGACAGCGGCCCTTGTCCAGACCCCAATTTGCCATCATCCCTGGTCAAGGAGAGGTGTCAAAGACCACCTGGCCCTGAAGTCTGGCTCTGTCACTAGTGTCACTCACTACCTGGATGGCCTTGCATATGTAGTGGCATCACCTCGCTGCACTCTCTTTGCTGGTCTGGAAAACCAGAGAAGGGCACCTGCCTCTCCAGGTCAGTGGGGAGGAAACAAGGCACCTGGCCTAGGGTCTGGCACATTGTAAGTGCTCAATATTCAGGATCTGGATGGGTGGATGCCTAGCTGAGGAATGTCCTGTTTTCTGTTAGAGTGAGGAGACATCCCATAGTAGGTCTTCAATTTTAAGTGAGCACCTGCTATGTGCCAAGCTCCTGGCTAAATGCTGTCTGGGCACAATGTCACTGAATTCCTCACAGGGCAGCGGGGATTCTTATACCCCTCTTACAGAGAGCCTAAGTGATGCGGGCAAGGTCACCCAGCAAGAGGAACCCAAGGGCAGGGAAGGTAGGAGCTTCGTTGTTCAGGTCGGGGAAAGAGGGCCAGAGAGGGTAGGTCACTTGTCCAAGGTCATACAGGAGACAGCGACCTGTACCCGACCCAGTCCCCATATCTGCCAAGTTCTCCGTGGCGGACCCCCGCCCCGCGCCTCAGCCCCAGCCTCTCCACTGCGCGCCTTTGCGTGCGGGGGCGCGCGCATCCCCTGGCAGTCCGTCAGTCAGTCCGCCCGTCTGTCTGGCTATCACCGCCGGCGCAGCCGTGCACCCCTCCTCAGCCTCCGGCGCGGCGCAGGGAGGAGCAGGGCGCCTGTCGCGCCGACCAGCGCCCGGAGCGGGAGCCCGGAGCCCGGAGCCCACAGCCGCGCGCCCGCGCCCTCCCAGCCCGAGCGCGAGCGCGGAGCCCGCGGGGCAAAGGCTCGGCGGCCGGCCGGCGGGCGACAGTCTCTGGCTCCGTCGCTCGCTCCCTACGATAAGGGGAGGCCAAGATGAAGACGCTCCAGGGAGCTCACCTCCGCAAGGTAGGGCCCGAGGACGGGGCGCACCTGCGCGAGGGGGGAAGGCCCGCCCCCCTCCCTTGTGGCTTCAGGGCACCTGCACCGGCTCCGACCCCAGAAGGCCAGCCGGGCTGGATTTCAGAGAGGGGTGGAGACACAGTTTAGCCCCCTCCCCTCCCCCGCCCCCATGCAGGGGTCCTGGAGAAGCGGGATGAGAGCCGGGTTCCCCCAGGCCAGGCCCTGCGAACCCACGAACAGGTGTCTGTACCCCAGGAAACATGGGCAGGGACTGGCCAGAGGCCAGACCCCCACCTTCCTCTCCCCCTCATTGCTTTTACCCAGGGCCGGCGTTAGCTAACTGATTTGGGGGTTTGGGATGTCCATCTGCCCGCCCCCATCTGTGTACTCAATACTGAAGCAGCTCCGGGGCGCTGCAGGGAGATTGCACCCCCCCCCCCTTTCTTGCTGCACTTGGTCCTGCAGAGCCGGCCACCTGCTTCCTACCTCCACGCCACAACCCCCCATCCGCGCCCACTTTTCCGGGTTGCTCTAGCTACCCCTGCTGGGACCCCAGGATGCCCCTCAGCAGAACTGAGGGGAGACACAGGCAGGGACGAGGAATGGAGACCTGGGGAAAATGGGGGGCGTGGGGTGGTCCAAGGTTGCAAGGATGAGAGAGCAGTCACACCTGAGCGGGCCTGGCCCTGGGCCAGATGGCAGCAACCCCCCACCCGTGGGTGCCCCTTTGCTCTGTGGACACTGGACCTCTCTGACAAGTTGTTTGAGTGGGGGCAGGGGAGGGAGTATCGGGACATTTTCTGGCTCTGGGGTTCAAAGCCACAGCCCTGGCCAAAGAGTTAGAACTCCTGGGAATGGTTTTGCAAGCATCTGCTAAGCCGGTGAGTTTGAGGCAAGTCCATTTTCTAAAAGGAACCTCCTCTGTTTTGCCCCACTTTCCTGGGAGAAGGCTTTGTGAACTGGGGGAGGGGGCACAGGAGTGGTAGGTGTGAGAGGACCATTCCCAGGAGCTGGTGTTAATGCCTTCCCTCCCCAACACACACACACACACACACACACACACACACACACACACACGGCATGCGTGTGTGAGAGCACTGAGCGGTGGGTGTTTTATGTCCCCTGACAGGCATAACTTCTCAGGACCATTTGTGGGTCACCTCTTAGGTCCTGCCCCCATGCTTCTCCATTCTTTTTCCCTGCTCCTTCCTCTGCTTCCCCATGAGAGTCCACACCCCGCAATGCCCCGCACGAGGCAGGCTGAGAGGAACAGCAAACCTTGGGTCATTTATCCTTCAGTCATTCTGGGCCTACCTAGGTTTTATGTTCTCCACGTCATAGACAAGAAAACCGAGGCTCACTGGCTTCCTGAAGGTGGGCTAGGCGTGCTGGGACCAATGGGGCAGAGGAGGCGCTCCCTCCCCTCAGGGTCCCTTTCCTGAGCCTCCAAGGAGAAGGGCAGATGGCAGGTATGAGGAAAGGTGCTCACTAGACCCAGTCAGGGCTCTGCACCCCTTTGTTCATCCTCACCACTCTGGTGCTGTTTGACCTTGGGCTCCTGCTGTCTGCTCCCAGAAACTCAGTTTCCCGTGTGCACAGTGATGAAGGTGGGCGCAGATTCCTCTTGTCTTCTATTCTGGAGAAGGTTAGAAAGACTGGGGCTTGGGCAGCCCCGCCTTTCCCAGTCCCTGTCCCTGAGGGGCCCTCCATCTGCTGCTGCCCAGAAGAGTGAGCACAGGCCTGGTGAGCTCTGGGGTGCCCGCATTCCTGTGTGACCGTGAGGTGAGGCGAGGCAGGGGATCCGGAGCAGGGCCTCACCCCCAGACAGAGTGTGAAGTCAGTCCTTAAGCCCTGCCTCATCGATTTGGTCGCTTCCTTCTGTTTCCGGACCAGTCTCTTTCTCATTGCACCAGCCTCCTGGGATTTACCCCTTGAGGTGGAAGCTGGGGCCACCCAGGTGGGCTCCCGATTGGCTCAGCTTTGGGAGACCCCATCCCCTGTCCCCAGAGCTAGAACAGGCTTCTTCTCTGATTGGGGGAGGAAGGGGTTGGGCTGGGAGCATCCGGCTCTTGTCACCATGGAAACAGAACCAGGACCTGCTCAGTGAGCAGGGAAAGGGCAGCTTCTCTGGAGAGATGAGAGGAACCTCATTACAAGGCCCCCTGCCAGCTGGCCTGACAGGGCTGGGTGGGTGTCAGGGCAACAGCCTTGCCTTACCACCCAAAGCCAGTGGCCAGCGTCTGCCAGCTGTCTCTCATCCCTCTGGGTCTAGCCTGGCAGGGTGTGCTCACTCCTCTAAAGGGGGAACCACTGAAGGGGGCATTCGAGGGGGAGGGAGCAGATTCCACCCAAGTCTGAGCTGTAGCTGTCCTCACCCCCACCTGCACCACATCACAGCTGGGGGGTCCTTGGAGCCATGCAACTTTATTATTTTTTTAAATCATTTTATTATATTAGGGGCTCCTACAACTCTTATCACAATCCATACACACATCAATTGTGTAAAGTGCATTTGTACATTCATTGCCCGCCATGCAACTTTAAAAGCAGCTGTTAACATGCTCCTCGTCTTGGTCCTGCCGTGCTGTCCCCATCACCACTGCCCTGTGGCCCTCAGGTAAAATCACTGCCATAGTCAGCACTGTCACTGAGAGCCAGCCCAGCAAGGCTACCTGATTCAGTCACCGGAGCTCATTGCCCCAACCCAGTCACCACAGCCTCCCTCCAGGCCTGGCCCACCGTGTCATCCCTACCCCCCTTCCACCCCCAGCATGTCCACAGGGCCAACCCTCACCTCTGCCACCACCTGATCTGTGTGTAGACACACTTGGTCTGCTGCCAGAAGGGGCAGCTTTGGGGCAAAGAACCAGTGTGGTGAGTAAGTGTTCTCCCCGTGCTGGGCTCTGCTCCTCCGCCACCTCAGGCGTCCCTGTGAAGTCTGCTTGGTGAGTCTGCCTCATGGACCCTCAGAGGGCAAGGTTCACACCAGATTCCTAGACCCACATGCTCCCAGGCGGGCCTCACTCTTTGAGGTCCGCTGCTTAAATAAAATGGAGCGTACTGCCTAGCCCGGCCCCAGGTGGAGGGTCCCAGCTCCCGTAAGTTCTCTTCAGGATCTGCTCCTTCTGCAGTCAAGAAACTCGTCTTGCTTCCTCTGTCACCCGGCTTTCCTCAGACTTTTTTGACCCCACGACCCTTTTGTGCTGAACACCAATGAACACCTCAAATGCTTTGCTCTTGGAAACACCGATCCCTCGAGCCCCCCAATGATCCAGTTGGGAAACCTGAGGCCGAGAAGGCACGTTGCTAGAGGGACACGGTGAGAGTCCAGACCTGGGACTGGAATCCAGGTCTCTGCCTCACAGTCCCATGGTCCCGTTTCCCGCCCAGTGCTTCCCAGCGGGAATCACGGGCAGCATTTAACAGTCAGCTTCCTTGGCACCTCCACCCTTCTCTGAGGTACAGTGTGAAGCCCAGAGGCAGCAGGAAGGAGGTGACCGTTGCTGTTCCCCAGGTCCAGAGCCCTGGTGGCGTAATGGTTATGTACTGGGCTGCTAACCACAAGGTCAGCAGTTTGAAACCACCAGCCGCTGTGGGGGAGAAAGATGAGGCTTTCTACTCCTGGGAAGAGTTATGGTCTCAGAAACCCACAAGGGCAGGTCTACCCTGTCCTAGAGGGTTGCAATCAACTTCACGTCTGCGTGTTTGGTTCTGGGGTCCCTTGTTGAGAACTGCTTTCTGAATTTCAGACAGTCACCCTGGTCTCCTTGGCCATCCTTCCTGGCAGTAAGCCCAGGTAATCTATGAACATGCCAGCTTGCCTGCCTTGGGGCCAGGGAGCTCCCCCAACCAGCCGAAGGAGGCCCTCTACCTTCCAGCGCCAACCCAAAAGGGCAGTCATGCTCAATAGACCTTCCCGCCTTCTTCAACTCATGGTGAGGGTCCTGAGAAACAGCTGACCTCCATCCCTCTCCATCTCTTGTCCAGCAGGAGGAAGAGGACAGCTTTCAGAAGCAGACTGGGCTTCAGTAGGTTTTCCTCTTGCTGAGCCACAATTCACACAGCCCTCTGAAGTCACAGGACATAAAGCTAATCCTTCCCCCAGGACAGCTCCCGTTCCCTCCAAGTGCTGCTCTTTCTGTGCTAGGGACTCCGGGTTCTTCTCCTGGTCCTCCTGTGGCTTCTTTTCCTGAACATCCTCCAGCCTGGCTACCTGCTGCAAACCGTCCGTGTCGTTCTCCAAACACCATGCCAGAGTGGAGGGCCAGCACCCAGGGACCGGCGGTGCAGAGTGTGAGCTTTAGCACAGAGAAGAGCTGAGATCAACCCCCCTACTCTCACAGGGCTAAAAAAAACACCGGAAGACAAACCTTGGGTCTGACATGATCTCGCTTTGAACCTTCTTGGTTTTCTCTAAATTACAACGGAGCCAGGAAGAGTATTTTTATTAGCTCCTGTGAGTGTTTGGGGAACGGAATCAAGTAACAGAAGTAAAACGTTTACTGTGGTGGGCGTGTGCATGAGTGGCACTGACTCATCGTGACGCCGTGTATAACAGAGTGAACGACTCCGTGGCCCGGCACCATCCTCACAGTTGTTCTACGGTTGAGCCCACTGTGTCAATCCAACTCATTCAGAGCCTTCCTCTTTTTCCTCTGACCCTGTCCTTTGGGGAGCATGATGTCCTTCCCCAGGGACTAGTCCCTCCTGATGATATCTCCAGATTCGGTGAGATGAAGTCTCCCCAGTCTCCCTTCTTAGGAGCACTCTGGCTGGAGTTCTTCCAAGCCAGAATTGCTTGTTCTTCCGGCCATCGGGGCACCTTCCAGGGTCTTCACCAGCACCCTCCTGCAAACGTCGATTCTTCTCCTGCCTTCCCTGTTCATTGTCCATCATCCTTATCCATTCTATCATGAAAGGCCGGGCAGGCTGGATGAAAGGACACCAGCCCAACACACACCTTCCTGATTTCAAACACATGCATGCGGAGAGACTACAATGGCATG